TCCAAATAAAACAAACAAAATATTGTTCTCCACGCACAATAATCTTCGAATGCCCCAGTGGGCCGTTCCGCGCCACGCGCCGCTTTGTGTTGATTTACTCGAGTTAGGCCAAATTCCGCGGTATTCTTGTTTCGGCCCACTGTCCAGGTATCGTCGAGGGGCCGATCTCTGTGCGAAAAATATGTTTGTGAAATTCTGTTGATGAAGTGCTTAGAGCGCAAAGGCTTTGGTAGCGTATTTAAATGTGTGAGCATTTTCTACTAACACTCACTGCTGCCGCCCGTCGCACAGTTGCGACAACAATGTAATTACGCGTGAGCGATAAGAATAGGTTGCTTGGGGTCATTGGACAAAATTCTACGTGCTCAGAGACCAGAGTTTAGGCTTGCCTAAAAATCGATAGAGTTGTTGGTCTATCCAAGGATTAAATAGTCAGATTCTATCGATCCAATCGATTGTAATAATTAATCCGATAGTATCGATATGAATAACATTGATAGTAGAGTGATTTTCAGTGGGAGCTATCGATTAATCGATACCTACCTAGTCAATTTTAGGTAAGCCTGCTTTATAAAATTTATGGACATGACTAAGACATTCTGTAAGCGAAATGTGGCGTTTAATCCTACTCATAATATTTTCAATGAAGCGTTACTTCGTATTTATAACTGACGAAGAATAGCTAGAACGGCTTACATAAGCACTGAGCATTTTATGTTCTTAAATAATCTAAGAAGGATGTAAAGATCCTGACAAGCATTAATTTATTTCTTATTAGTGACAATTAGCACAGAAAGCTCCTGTACCTAACACTGACATCATTTTTATATCAGTTACAATCGAATCCCAGAGTAAGTAGGTACAGCAAGCTCCTACCTACCTTATGTTATATCCGTTAGTATTTAGTTTTATTTCGAACTCCTCCTATGTTCTTCTGATTAATTTCGTTGCGGGTCCAATGACAGTTTAACTTTCCCCCGGGACAAACTTGACCTTCATTGGTTGGGTTTTGGCGGTCAAGCTGTAGATGCTGGCTACACAGGAGTTGCAGTGGTGGGAACGAGAGGTGGGAATAGTCCCGTATCCGTTAGTATCTCAAAGTGAGCCAAGCATGTATCATACAAAGTCTTCATAATGCTCTACCTTGTTGAAGCTTTTACTCAAATGGGACATAAAATATTTTATTGCTGCGACGTATATCGAGTTCAGATACAAATCATTTCAGCAGTTAACTTGAGCTATGGAGCTATTTTAGTTTGTTTTGTAAGATAAGAATGATGGGATAAGTTTTAGATTTAAAAGTGCTAAGAGTTTTACCATGGACTGAGTATTCTATACGAGTTTCAGTGTGCGAAAAATCGTTGTTATAGCGTTTAACTCAGTCGTTGCCTGAGGTATGCGAGTGGTACGGGAGGAGTGACATTGGACACGTTATGACGTGACAGGGCATACAAATCTAAAGTCTAGCTGACGTTTAACCGTCACAAAATCACCCTCCCGTCCCATACCTCGGGCACTGAGTGTGTTAAGTGCTAGACATACGAGTATACCTTACAAGCGTTAACGTAAAAAGTTTTAGTAAATCATGCCCTAGTCAAGCACTCAATATTCCATATCATGAAATTTGAAAACAACGCAACGCATCTACAAATTCTACCAAGTTTTACTTCCTAAAAATGACTTTTATTTGCCACGAAACTTATAAAAATCTGTTATTTACGCATTATGTAGTCAGTCACAGTTTATTTATAGTAACCAATTAGGTACTATTTTTACTATGACGAACTTATTACGCCTCAAATACCAAATCAAAGTTTAGGCATTCAATTATATTTCACACCACAGAAATGAAACGAATTTTGGTTACGCGTGGGTGCGATATTAAATTTGTTAATGGTCAATCATAGGAATCAATCAACCCTGTAATTTTACTTTAATTTTAAACAAGCTGTGAATTTACGTTAGATTATACATTGAATTGCCACTATGTCACATTATTTTAATTATTCATCATTTTAGATTCCATTCTTCGCTAGCTATAAGTAGGACGCCTATGTCGGCTTAAAATTATGTCACCAGGATTAAAACATTGAGATATGTAATAATATTACTTCAATGGATTAAAATACAAACCATACATTTAGATAATACGAGTAAACTTAGGTCGGTTTATGTAACACGAACTCTACCTACATATAATTTTAATTTAACTAGGTACTTCAACTAGAACCTTACTAAATTGGTAACAGTTATCTTACTACATAGTTCTGTCATTAGATGAAATCTTTAAGTATAAGGCTGTATAATACCACTGGTCCGTCTTAAATAGTTTTTAGATTTAAACACATTTATACATATTATAACTAATACCGAAATTCACATCTGAAACATTAAACAATTATTTTTGTTTCTTGTAATTCCTTTTATGTGTAAAAAGCAATAAACTTTTTTTTTTTTTTAACTTTTCACTCATCACATTACATACAACGTGTCCCAAAATTCAAGGATAAGCCGGCGCCGCAGGATGGACATAGTCATGACTACTTTAGGAAAAATAAGAAAAAAAATCTGTCTCAATTATTTTTTAAGTTACACAATAAATGATGAAATTCGTCGAAAATTGACACCCCTTATGATATTTTACATTACCACGACCACAATTTTTCAAATACTTCTGTTTTTTTGTTTGTATCGGCAACTTAAGTAGTGCTGCTGTCATCTCCAATTCTTAAAACCCTCAGAATTCTTGCAGTTTTTACACAAAATTTAATCAAAATATGATATTTCCTTAAAATTTTGAACGATTTTTACTTTCACTCCACTTTGACTCGTCGTTTTGTAAAAAAACAGTATGAACACTACTGCGGCAAGTTTATTATAAAGTTGACGCAACTATCCAAGATTCCAAAATGGTATAATACTCTAAGAAAACTAGTCGCAATAAAGATATGCGTACCATTTTTACAAGCACTTCGCTTGTTAGTTAGTATGGAATAAATCTTGCAATTAAATTTAAAACCAGTTCTCCTTAACCAATTGAGATGAAATTTGGTATACTTATGTAAGTACGATGACATTGCAATATTATGGTATCATTGAGCTGGATGGAGTCTGGAGGTGGCCATAGGAACTTCTAAACGAAACGGCGGAATCGCATCTAGTTTGGGTTCGTTGAATATCTTTTCGAGCACTTTAGTGCTAGATGATGTCCAGGGTCCTGATGATGAAGTCAAGAGGTGGCCAGGAGCTGGCCAAAGGAACTCCTAATCGAAATGGCGGAAGATTATCGAGTTTGGGTTCGTTGGATTTGACTTCCCGAGCACTTGGACCATGAGATTGAGAAACAACTAAAAAGTGTAAAATAAAGTTATAAAAAAAAAAAAACTTTTTTAAAAACAAGCATTAATGCGAAATTTTACGAAAGAATTTAACGATAAAAATAATTGTATGCAAGGTTCAAATAATTTCGAAAGTTTGTAGCGCAAACAGAAAAAAAGAGGAATAAATTCCATGCGCGATTATAACTTTATTTTAAACTTTTTAGTTGTTTCTCAATCTCATGGCCCAAGTGCCCGAGAAGACAAACCCAACGAACCCAAACTCGATAAGCTTCCACTATTTCGTTTAGGAGTTCCTATGGCCAGCTCCTGGCCACCTCTTGACTTCATCATCAGGATCCTGGACATCATCTAGCACCAAAGTGCTTGAAAAGACAAATCTAACGAACCTAAACTAGATGCAATTCCGCCGTTTCATTTAGAAGTTCCTATGGCCACCTCCAGACTCCATCCAGCTCAATGATACCATAATATTGCATTGTCATCGTACTTACATAAGTATACCAAATTTCAGCTCAATTGGTTGAGGAGAACTGGTTTTAAATTTAGTTGCAAGATTTATCCCATACTACTAACAAGCGAAGTGCTTGTAAAAATGGTACGCATATCTTTTTTGCGACTAGTTTTCTTAGAGTATTATACCATTTTGGAATCTTGGATAGTTGCGTCAACTTTATAATAAACTTGCCGCAGTAGTGTTCATACTGTTTTTTTACAAAACGACGAGTCAAAGTGGAGTGAAAGTAATAATCGTTTAAAATTTTAAGAAAATATCATATTTTGATTAACTTTTGTGTAAAAACTGCAAGGTTTCTGGGGGTTTTAAGAATTGGAGTGGACAGCAGCACTACTTAAGTTGCCAATACAAACAAAAAAACAGAAGTATTTGAAAAATTGTAGTCGTTGTAATGTAAAATATCATAAGGGGTGTCAATTTTCGACGAATTTCATAATTTATTGTGTAACTTAAAAAATAATTGAGATAGATTTTTTTTCTTATTTTTCCTGAAGTAGTCATGACTATGTCCATCCTGCAGCGCCGGCTTATCCTTGAATTTTGGGACACGTTGTATAGTTCAAAACTAAGATTTTAAAGTAATACTAGATTAAGACAAAGTCTATTTTATGTACCACCTCAGGCTCTTGTTCAATACCCCTCATCTACCGGCTGAATTCACTCTTTGCTTAACTAACTAACTTCCAACTAATGTTGTCGGAAAATCGATGCTTTATCGATATCGATCCATCGACTCTCGCTATATCGATAGAGACGTTTTTAGGAGTATGGCTTAACGCGCACGGGTAATTTTTTGTCAGCGTGACAAAATCTCTTTCTCCTTTACACTTTCATAGAGAGAAAAGAGAGAATGTAGTACCTATTCTTATCTATGGAGAGACACACTGTCACGGTGACAATAGTCACCAGTGCGCGCGCTCCATAACTTTACATTTGCCTTTTTCATCTACATTTTAAAGATTTTGATTAATTGTTTGTTCATAATTATATTTTACATTGATACCATCCTACGAAGACCTTTTAGGTCACTGTCTAAGAGCTCTATCGATATAGTAAGGGGCATCGATCGTTATCGATAAAAATGACTCGATTTTTCAACAACGCTACTTCTTACTGGCTTAACTGACCGAAGCCTGTTTTTACAGCACCAGGCAGCCGCTCAGACCTTGGTGAGTGATTGCGATTCCTTGCACTTCACTATACTTTTTTATAAACTTATTTATCATTACCTTCCTATTTCGCTTCATCGCATTTTAAGGCTTTATCTATAGTGTTGGGAAACAGTAACTCAGTTTCGATAAAATTTATCGATACTGAAATAAAATTGTATGAAAAATAATAAAAATTACTTTAATTATTTGAAATTGAGTTACTGTTTTGAAATTGAAAACACTATTTACTAAGACAGTGCAAAGCTTAAAAGCAAATAAAAGTTTTCTAGGTAGATAACCGCATGTTGAGTGAGTGATTTTAACAATAAATTGTAAATAAACATAAATAACTTTCTATAGCCACCAGAATGATTTTAGGTAGGTAATGTTGATTTTAGAGCATTAAAATTTGTAACAGGTATTGAGGTAAAATGTAATTTTTTAGGAAAATTCGAGAATATTTTGACTTTTTGATACACTGTAGGTAGGTTTTTCTTTTAGACTAGTGGATGATGATTTAAATGATACTTAAAAGTTACAAAAGCATGCATAACTCACACTAAACGCACATTACACAAATACATAAACGTTTTTACACACAAAAATATTTACACGTTTTTTTTTTACAAAATTTTGATACACGAGTAATTTAGTAATTTTTGACATGTAACAATTTACACAAGTAATACTTAGTATTTTTTATATTAATTTACTACTTTGAAATAATGTTTTTTAGGTTTTGAAAATGAATAATATGTTTTACATTATTGCCGCTCAATTTAGGTAAGTGAATATTTTACCTGGCGCCACTCAAAATGGAATGACAATATAGGGTTTTTAAATCGTGTCCTAAAAAGGAATAGGTGTAGGTATGAGCTAATTTATTGGTGTACTACAATTTCAGCACCAATAATGAGCTTTACTTTAACCCTTTAGCTGGAGCTAAGCTAATATTAAAATTTGTGTGTTTGGATTCACTACAGTAGTCCAGAGATCGATGGGTTAAGAAATAAACGGTACTAAAGACTGCAGTCGGCAATCCGATACCGATACCTTTGGTTTATTCACAGATAAAATCCATGTATGTGGGTTTATTGTTACCTTTTTTTATCTTTTTAGTTCATCGTTACGCAGTTAGGTTTTTTTGTTTTTTCAATAATATTATGATGAAACAATAAAAGTTACTCACCAAATCATCTTATGACTGTCGGATCTATGATCTTATAATAGTCGAAGCCTCGAAGCCTTATTAACCGACCCGACAATAGAGAAGAAATCACATTATAACCACCAATCCCGGGGCTCCCCCAGGAAAGCTTGTCGAAATTAGTCTTTCCTAGCTGCCAGGGTTGCCACAGGTAATAACCTAAGTTATGTAGAAGTTTCAGGAGCTATGCTGGTTTTTTGGATATCTAAAGCTCTTTTATACCTAAGTGACAGCGCACATTGGGCGAGAAAACTCGGAGACAGACGCGACCACAAAACGTCTGTCATTTTGACGCCATTTCATGTCATTTTGTCGCGACATGTCGCAGAGTCGCAACAACAGTTAATACACTGGTTATCACAAAAATCGACCCTCCCGCGACAAGCACTTTCAAACGTATGCATCCCCACTTCCCATTAATATTGGCACCATTTAAAAGCCTAGTTCTAAACTTCATTTCATTAAAGAAAAGGTTTTTACCCCAAAAATGTGTCTGTAGTAGAATCCAGAGTCACTTCTTCAAAAAATAGGTTGTTACGCTTGAGCCAACTTTTATGGTTAGAAAACTGTTAAGTTGGGATTAATCGCTATCAATCTGTTAAAGAGGACACGTGAGATCATTATTTGGTTTTATAACCATAAAAATTGGTCTAATTGATCCCAGAGGTGAGCCCAAAGTGAGGTCTATTTTCAAGTCACATTTATTGTATGTGTTAATCGTTTAAATCGTTTATTAAGAAATTAAATGTGTTTTTCTTTAAGGATATTTATTGGGCTTTCAAATAACACCAATATTGTTGGGGCACCATGATTGTGTCAGTAGAAACGAGTTTTCCTGTAAAATTCCTGTAAACGACCAGTAGATTATGAAATGACGCGCGCACGCCTTTTGTGGCCGCGTCTGTCGCGCGTTTTGTCGCCCAATGTGCGCTGTCGCTAAGTCCAGAAAAGATGTTGTTATAAAAACACGTTAAACTTTTGTACTGAAATGACTAACAAAGCTTAAATGAGCTAATTCATCATCATAATAGCCTTACCTAATGGCAGTCTACTGCTAGACATAAGCCTCTCAAGAAGCACCAGAGAGAATGATCCTGCTCTTTTGTTCTTTTCTTCATCTAGCGACTGTCTTTTTAAGGTAGATTATTACATACTTTTTTAAAATAATACTTCTTGTGATATGCTTAACGCTTCTAACAGTCTAGGGGATAGTTCGACTCTCTTGATTCGGGAGTTTTAGGTTCAATTCCTATTATTTTGAGTAGGTAAATCATAAATAGATACTTCATCCAAAATGTAAGGTAATTTTATCACCATTTAATTTTATTTGTCAACGGTTTAATTCCTGGCTTTTTAAAAGTGGCAACCCTGCCGTAGCGTGACGTAACCGAGGTCGTATTAATCATGGCTGGAAGTGACTTGCAGTCCAGGGCTATCTACTCCATTACACCGGCGATTGCTGGCAAATGGGTTACGGTAAAAATCTAGATAGTATTTGAATAAACTGCGCCGTGAAGAGGCTTTCATTCCATCAGACAAAACGCTTGGAATTTATTTTAAAATTTAAGTTTAACACGTTGGGTAATAAAAATTCTATTGTGTATTTTACCCGTATTCACAAACGATGCTTGCTTATCGCCCGTATTCACAAATATTACTATTAGGTCTCACAGTGCGCGTGGACCCACAGGGTGACACATGAACCAATCACAGAGCTCTATCAACACTGTGCGTTCGATTTGCTGCTTCACTAATAAAGCAAGCATCGTTTGTGAACAAGGGCGTATGTGACGCAGCAAATTGAACGCACAGCGTTGAATAGAGCTCTGTGATTGGTTCTGTTTGAAACCTACTTTTATAAGCTGTCAAAATGGCAGTCTTCCATCCCATGCGTCCACACATATTGGTATAACAGAGATAAAAACATAACATATTATGTATAAAACGTGAATCATATGAAACGTAGGAACCCCGACTTTTTATATTAGAATGGGACTGTCTTTTGATGGACCGCACTTTTCCAAGATGTCTTCATGGGTCGAAGGGCTTGGGGCAGACATGAAGTTGTTTGAAAACCTACTTCAATATGATGTATGAAAGACGCTGCAGAATAAAAACTTTTTCGTACATTGATTTGAATACTCAGAGGAAATATTTGGGGAACTGTGTAAATACACTCGCGAGCAAAAGTATGGAATCACTTACATGAAGTTGTTTCCACGCGAACTTGTGTACTAACGAATTTGTTAGGAACAAAAAAAGTGGCACCATTTTAAAGATTAAACTTTTATCTTTAAATTGATACCAAATTCATTTAAATCACACCAGTATTTAAAAAGATATCCCGGCTGATGTGAAGAAGTAACGAAAAAAACATGTATGAACTGTTTGATACGTCGCGAGTTGCGGCCTATTTACCCCCTATAAAAGCACGCGTTTTCGGATTTTTGCTTTCACACGTTGATTCATAGACATCTCCGCTTCTTTAGACACTTTACCTGGGATTCTACACCTTCAGAAGCAGCACAAATCGTTGCACTATTCCAAGAAGGGCTCAGCCAGCGAGCTGTCGCACGTCAGCGCCACATAAGCCAGTCCTGGGTTTCGAAAGTTTTAAGACGCTTTCGGGAGACTGGTAGCTTTATCCCGAGACCAAGTTCTGAACAGCGCCGGCGCACATCGCAGAGGGAAGACCGTTTTTTCATGTCAACCTCTCTATGAAATCGTCATTTGACTGGAATCGACGTCCAGTAAGAGCTCAGAAATGTTCGTAGGATAGCTGTTAGCGAGTAGACAGTTTTTCTAAGATGTAAGCAATAGAATTTAACTCCAAAAAGGCCTGCCACAGGCTCGAAACTGACGGCAGGTCACCGATAAGCACGCTTTCAATTTGCTCGTACACATCTCGATGTTAAGTCGAGCAAGCCACCCCCATAAGCCACTGTTTCAGCGAACCAGCACTGCACAAATCGCTCCTCAGGCCGCTTATAAACCCGACCTCTTTGACTGCTGCCCTGCAAACACAGTTTGCATTCATCGGAGAACAGAACTCGCCTCCATTACTCGCCTTTCCATCGAGATGTGTACGAGCAAATTGAAAGGGTGCTTATCGGTGACCTGCCGTCAGTTTCGAGCCTGTGGCAGGCCTTTTTGGAGTCAAATTCTATTGCTTACTTATATCTTAGACGAACTGTCCACTCGCTAACAGCTATCTTACGAACATTTCAGAGCTCTTGATGGACATCGATTCCAGTCAAATGACGATTTCATAGAGAGGTTGACATGAAAAAACGGTCTTCCCTGTGCGATGTGCACCGGCGCTGTTCAGAACTTGGTCTCGGGATAAAGCCACTAGTCTCCCGAAAGCGTCTTGAAACTTTCGAAACCCAGGACTGGCTTATGTGGCGCTGACGTGCGACAGCCCGCTGGCTGAGCCCTTCTTGCAATAGTGCAACGATTTGTGCTGCTTCTGAAGGTGTAGAATCCCAGGTAAAGTGTCAAAAGAAGCGGAGATGTGTATGAATCAACGTGTGAAAGCAAAAATCCGAAAACGCGTGCTTTTATAGGGGGTAAATAGGCCGCAACTCGCGACGTATCAAACAGTTCATACATGTCTTTTTCGTTACTTCTTCACATCAGCCGGGATATCTTTTTAAATACTGGTGTGATTTAAATGAATTTGGTATAAATTTAAAGATAAAAGTTTAATCTTTAAAATGGTGCCACTTTTTTTGTTACTAACAAATTCGTTAGTACACAAGTTCGCGTGGAAACAACTTCATGTAAGTGATTCCATAGTTTTGCTCGCGAG